GCGCGCGCGTGTGTATGTGTGTGTGGTCTCTTCAATAGCGAATAATAAACATCATCAACCGGTTACATGGTACATCACTGATCCACTTCGTTCCTACGCAAAGTTTCGTCGCTATATGTATTGAATTGAAGTTAGTCTTGATCGATCTCAGTGAAACTACACGTTGAAAGCTTTGTTAATTAAACCTAAGTCAATTCGAAAACGAACATAATTGATTTTGTGGTGGAAAGACGTAAGTATTGCATGGATACGTTAATAAATTATATATCAAATAAATTTTTAATATATAATAAAGTATAAAAAATATGTGAATTAGAAGAATTAATCAATATAAATTAATCATGAACAGTTTTGCTATAATATGTACTTGTCTATTTAAAGTTATAATTTTTCATAATATGGAAATCTTTATACGATCATATATTTATAGAGAATTGATAATGGTCCGGTTAGGTAAACTGTTGTACTTATAGTCGAAGTCGAGCAATGTAAGAACAATTTTTGATGTGTGAATTAAGTGTAAATTGTCATTGCATATACGAATACAAATAAATTAGAAAAATTACTTTCGTATAAAATTTTCCAGATACCAACGAAAGTACTTGCGACGTAAAAGTGAATAATATTAAAAGATACATTTCAGAATTATTATTTTTTGTGATTAATGATTACGAAATTGAGTTATGTAATATGTACAGTATATGATACATGATATATGTGATACATCGTTTGAAGATGTTATCGTAGGTCGCTGAACTCTTCTCGATGTTGACTATATAAAGTCGTACAAACAAAAACACATGGTTCTATTTTTTTAAAATATTGACCTTAATATCACAAAAAATAACCTTGAAAAAAACTTTTCCAGTCATCATAATTGCCCCCTCGAATAGTGGAACTTTTTCTTCAGACATTTTTTTTCATATCACATCAAAAACAAGTGAGATATTTCAAATGCTCGAGCTAAGTGAACTCGAACTAAGATCACCCTGTATGTATATTATATATAAATATATATAAATATGAATGTGCATTATATTAAAACAAAAATTATGAAGAAAATATTTGTGCCAATATTACAAAAACAATTGTCGCGCAATAGAACACGAAGAATATTTGCGGTTTTGCTTGAGAAATCATTATCGATGACAAGGACATGAGATGGAAGGAACTCTGGTGACATTAAAGACGCGAACGCAATTAACTTCGGGTTAATGACAGTGCTCCGGAATGCATTTAGCGTGCCGGTTACGAAGCGAGAACTTAACAGTTGCGCTCACAAGATTGCAATTCTAATTTAGCGGATACTTATTAAAATGATCTCTTATGTA